TTTTTTTTTTTTTTTTTTTTTTTTTTTTTTGAAATTGTTTAGGGCTTGATTTGTTTAAGTGAATCAGGAAGTAAGTCGACTTTAAATTGAAGTAACTTCAAAGTTGAAAGTCACTTTACGAGAAATAACTTAAAACTGCAGCGGTATAGTGACCTCCTATCATATTTTTCCTTATTTGGACCTTGAAACACTGCTGCAAATTAAGATTTTTAGATTGGAAGTGTACTTGGAATGTCCAAAATTTTGTTAAGCGCTGGAAATTGGTGAATGCTCCAAGCGTAGATGATGCAAAGTTATTTTTGCTCAAAATATTTTCGACGCGTTGCTTTGGCATTATCAAGGATTTCGAATTTGGCTGTTTGGGCACAAAATGTTTCACGGTAACTGTCTATAAAAAACTTGAAAAGATGTGTCAACAAGACACTAAAAATATGAAGCTATTCCTTGCATTATATGCATTGTGCGCTAAAATATCACAAACTATTTGAACGCTCGTTCAAGAACAAAAACCAGCATGAAAGGAAACACGTGACTTAAGGTGTCGGTCCACGACCGAGCCGACATAGACGAGTAGCCGTTCTCAGACCATTCTAACAAACACAGACCGGCCTTGGAATGAATGTATTAGAGGAGCAAAACTTTTTGGGAATACAAATTAGATAAAAAACACAAGGGAAAGCATGCGACTGTAACTAATATGTAACTCAGAAAAATGATTGGTTGCACTTACTCAGGTTAAATCTTTTTAATAACGAGTAAATGGACTGCACTAGCAACTGAAACATGAGATCTTCAAACAACGGGGATTCTGAGTACTCGAAAATCATTCCGGAGTCATACCCGTGACAAGCTTCATAACCAAACGGTTGGAATTGTCCCAGCAAATGCGCATATCTTTTTGAAGGGATCTTTAAGGGGTAGCTTGAAAATGAAAATGCCTGTAAGTCACATAAAAAAGCATCTTGTATGCTGCCAGTAAAGTTGCATACGCTAAAAGCGAAGATCAGAAATATATTTTTAAGTTTTTAAAAAGTTTCAATGATTTGGAAACATGTAGCTGAAGTACCGCAGAAGAACAGTCTTTTTTGCACGTCAGTCAACAATTTTAAAAAAACTTCTTTGAAGAGATTGAACTTGCATAATTTCAGTTTAGTTTTTTAAAAACTCAGCTTTTTAGTGAGTTTCCGTCAGTGTAAGCTATCGCTGTATTTCAAATCAGAATTGAAAAATGAAAAGTTGCTAAACTGTCGTCCCGTTCAAATAAAATAAATACTTGGATGCTTATAATCCAATTTCGGTTAATAGAGTTAGTCTCAGTGAAATTAATTACACTGAGTATTTATTCACGCGGAGTAAATTTAGGAAATACTTAGGAATTTTCCAGACGTATTGTTTAAGCTTTTACAAAACATAAACGTTAACGTCGACAGATATGTATATTTGTAATGTAATCATGCAGTAAATCTGGTTTTTATCTTTTAATTAAATAGAATAGCGGAAACATATATATATATATATAT